GGGAACATTTACTTGCAATAGTAAAACAAGCGGTTGGGTGTAGTGGCACACACCTTTGATCCCAGCCCTCTATGGGGCAGAGGTAGACAGATCTCTGTGAGTTAGGAGCCAGCCTAGTCTATGTAGCAAGTTCTAGGACTGCCAGGGCTACAGCGAGACCCTGTCTCAAAAATAAAACGAGTCATAAGAAACTATAATTTGTCCAGGTGGTGATGGCGCACGCTTTTAATCCCAGCACTGAGGAGGCAGAGAGGCAGGTGGATCTTTGAGTTGGAGGCCATTCTGGTCTACAGAAAGAGTTCCAGGATAGCCAGGGTTACACAGAGAAAAACCCTCTGGCAGGGGGGGGGGGCAGAGAAGAAAGAGAGGGGGAGAGAAAGAAAAAAAGAAAGAAGGAAAAAAGATAGAAAGAAAGAAAGAAAGAAAGAAAGAAAGAAAGAAAGAAAGAAAGAAAAAAAACCTGTGGCTTGTCAAAAGACTGACAATATCCCAAGGACTGGGAATACAGGGCAGAGCTGGTGTTATGTTTGTGTCATGAGCCCCCCAGAGACCACCAGGAGACCGAGTTTGTATGCAAAAGCAAAGAGCCTTATTCAAGCTCGAGCTTGGACTCTCCGCCCACTCTAACACCGAGGCTGGATCAGAGAGCATTGAGCTCAGGGGCAGGATTTTAAGGAGTAAAGGACGTGGAGGGGGGGGGGGATTCCGGATTCAGATGGGGGTTGAACTCCTGACAGGGCAGGAATGGGGCAACAGAAGTCTTGTCAAACAGGGATTGTACTGGCGCTGCTGTAAGGAAATTAGCAACCTATAGGAAAGCTGTTCTCAATGTTCCGGAGCATGGCTAGGCAACGGATTTAGGTTACCCCAGATACCATGTGCCAGTGTGGCGACAGTTTCATGAAGGTTTTGTTGCTGCTTTGGGGGTTTGTTTCGTTTTGTTTTTTGAGACAAGGTCTCACCATGTAGCCTTGGCTAGCTTGATTCGCTATCTGGACCAAGATGACCGCAAACTGCCTTCTTTTGGAATGCTGGGATTAAAGGCATATGCTTCAATACTACACCCAGCCGGGTGTGTGACTTTTTTCTTTCTTTCTTTTTTAAATATTTATTTATTTATTATGTATACAATTTTCTGTCTGTGTGTGCCTGCAGGCCAGAAGAGAGTACCAGACCTCATTACAGATGGTTGTGAGCCACCATGTGGTTGCTGGGAATTGAACTCCGGACCTTTGAAAGAGCAGTCAATGCTCCTAACTGCTGAGCCATCTCTCCAGCCCCCATGACGTTTTCTTTTTTTTTCAAGACCGGGTTTCTCTATGTAGTCCTGGCTGTCCTAGAACTCACTCTATAGACCAGGCTCGCCTCAAACTCACAGAAATCTGCCTGCCTCTGCCTCCTAAGTGCTGGGATTAAAGGTATGCACCACCCCAGTCCAGCTGGTTTGTCGCATTTTTATAATAGCAGAATGAAGAGAATCATAAATCAAGGTACTTTAAAAATATACTGGGGAAAACAGGGAGTGTTCCAGTCGCAGCAAAGCAGAAAGATCCGTTGTAAGCCTCAGGGGTTCTCTGATGGCATTCTTGGCCCTTGAGTTGGGGGAAGCTAGTAGTCTGTTAGTACATTCCAGAAGGATTTACCTCTTAGTAACAAGGATGCAAGCTCACACACAGAGGGCAATAATGGCCATTAGGAAGCTAAAGATAGCCCCAGGTAATTTGGCTCTGGCCCTGTAGCATCCCAGGTCTCCACAACTGCACAACTGCAATCATTCAATCAGCCCTGCAGGGCGTTTAGCACAGGAAGAGCCATTTTGTTTTCTGGGAACTTCAGTTTCCCACTGAGTGATTCCTTCCCCCTGAGGAAGACGGCAGAGGATACTCCCAGCAGTCACTGAAAACCATAACGCCCTAAGTGGGCTTGTGGGGCGCTCTCACACTTCCCAAGATCTGCGAGTCTAGGCAGGCAACTCGGACCCAAACGATGCTCTTTATCTGGAGTCAGAGAGAAAAGTCGCTCAAGTCTGACCATCTTCAGTTGGATTCCTCCTTCAACTGTTCCCTGAATGGCCAAGGGCGTCTTCATCTGGACCAGGGGCTACAATAGCAAAAGCAGGAAAGTGCAATTTAACCAGCATTTTCACGTAGAGAAGAACAGATAAAGGGTCAGATAAACTGGACTCCATGACCCCAAACTTGTCTTCAGTAGGTCGACAGGAGCTTCAGGTCTACATAAAAAAGCAGGGCAGGGGTGAGAGCTGTGCTTGACTGCACAGTCCCGGCCAAGGTGTGCTTTCCTTCATCTTTGTCCCACCTTGGAAGAAGTCATACAGCTCGAGGAGGCAAGCTGGTTTTCTGGGGGTAACTACTTCCGCTGTGTGATCAGAGTTGATACCGTGGAGGCTACCCTTAGCTGAGGGATGTTTGACTCCCGGTGCCACCAGGTTTTACTTCCTAGAATCTAAGGGGAATACAGGTGTGGGGCATTGACCTATCTCTGTGCCTTCAGCATTGAAGAGGACAAGCTAGGTTAGGTAGAGACACTCCCTGAGTGGTTAATATCCCTAGGTGCATTAAGCAAGAACAAGGATCTGAAGTAAAAGAGAAAGGCATAAAATAAGAGTAGAGATGTCAGGTCTTTTTAGTTCCCTTGTGGCCCTAAGTGAAGAGCAAGTAACCTTTAGCAAAGAGGGTTTTTAACTTTTTTTTAAACTTTCATTTTATATATATATGGGTGTTTTGCATGAGTATATACTGTGTACCACATATGTGCAGTACCCTCAGCGGCCAGAAGAGGGAGCTATAGGCTCTGGAACTGGAGTTAAGGCGGTTGTTAACTATCATATAGGTGCTAAGAACCAACTAAGAACCAAACCCAGGTCCTCTGCAAGAGCAGGAAGTGCCTTTAACTGCTGAGCTGTCTTTCCAGATGCAAAAAAAAAAAAAAAAAAAAAAAACTTTTATTCTGTTCTTACACAACCCCCCCCCCCTCAGAGCCTGTCCTGGAACTCACTTTGTAGACCAGGCTGAAATCACAGAGATCCACCTGTCTCTGCCTACCAAGTCCTGGGATTAAAGGCATGCACCACTACCACCCACAACACACACACTTTCTAGGCAGCTCCTGTGTGGCGGTCAGAAGACAATTTGCAGGAGTTAGTTCTCTTTCTCTACCTTGTGGACTTCAGGGAACAAACTCAGGTCATTAAGCTTGGAGGCAAATGCCTTTGTTACATCTAGAGGTCTTAATTGAGTTTGTTTTCTTAGCTAATTAAAATATTAAAAGTCAGGAAAAATCTCAGACACGGTAGACAGCTTTATAACAACCTTTATTGGAAGCAAAGAAGCATACACACACACACACACACACACACACACACACACACACACACACACACGGGATAAAACATACAGAGTAAAGAACTCCCCACAGAGCTGAAAGGAGACTGGAGTGCTGGGGGTTTTAAGTGGTTTTGGTGGCCTGGGATGGGTCCTCTTCCCCCATTTTGGGTTCATCAGTTTAAACAAAGAAAGGGAAACCGATAGACCCGTATCTTTATGTAAACGTGTTCAGGACAAGCCTTGACTACACCTGACTAGCCTGGATCTATGGATGGGACCCACTGGCAGGAGAAAACCCCACCAGGTCTTTAATTCAAATCAAGACTGTATATCTGATGACGTGACTGTTCTGTGATACATAAAGGGAAGGTTTTTATTGTCGATATGAGAGAGAGAACAGATGGAGGCGTCTGGAAGGGTCTAGAGCTGAGAGAGAAAGAAGCATGGTCGGCAGACTGGATCTGACCAGGGTTATCTGCAAGAGAGGGACGAGCAGCAAGGAGAAAGACTAGAGAAGATAGAGTGAGAGGAGCAGGAGCAGAGGAGAGAGCGAGAGAGAGCGAGAGAGCGAGAGCGAGCGAGAGAGAGAGAGAGAGAGAGAGAGGGAGAGAGAGGGAGAGAGAGAGAGAGAGAGAGAGAGAGAGAGAGAGAGAGAGAGAGAGAGAGCGAGAGCGAGAGAGCGAGAGAGCGAGAGAGAGAGAGAGAAGCCAGGGGAGGGAAGCCCATGAACTGAGCTGGAGGGAGTTTTAGGGTAGGGAAGGAGGTGACAAGGGCTAGGAGGACAGTATGAACTTTGAACTGTTTAACAGGTACTTGTGATACTGAGGGAGCCTGGGGTCCAGAATGAGCATCGTTAAGGCACCACAGGTAGCCCGATGTCCCTCTGCCCCATGTCCCTCTGCCCCGATGTCTCTCTGCCAGTGGTAAGGGAAATGACTCCATCAGTGCATGAGAACCATTTTCACAAATTCCTGAGGAAGGCTGGCTTTGATCTGATCTCCAGAAATCCCAGGTTGAGCCCATTGGACTGCCTTCTGGGGTTTGGGGAATTGGAGTTTCCTTTGAACCTGGCAAAGATGGCAAAGAAGAAGCTGGGAGGGAGACTGCCATTTTTACTGTCGATCCTTCTCTGAGGCCCCTTTCCCTGTCTGACTGCATTCCCGGGATCTGTCTGGGTCCCACTGAGCCATCTTGCTGACCCAGCAAAGCCTGCGATATAAACACATCTCTGTGGTGCTGATACCGCACTGGGGTTGGCTGTGTGGGTTGTCAGTGGTGGAGAAACACTCCTCTCCTCTCTGTACCACCTTAAGGAAAAGAAAACACAAGTTGTTTCATTGGGCATCGTTTGGGGTTTGTATGTATGCACATGCATGCGAGTGCCAACTATATCGTATGTCTAGTTTCTGCTAATCCTTCCAACGACCCGTGGAGGGAGATGTTCTCGCCTTTTAATACCTAGGAAGCCGAGGCTTGGAAAAATGAGGAAGAACGGTACAAAGCCAGCGGGCAAGTCTAGCTCGGCTTTGCACATCTGTAGCCTCAGCACTTAGGAAATCGAGGCGGAAGGATGGTGGGTTCCAACCTGGGCTACATAATTACACTCCGATTTTTGTTTTTGTTTTTTAATTAAAAAAAAAAAAGTCAGGAGGCAACCAAGCCAAGAGCTAAACCCAACCACCCACCACCCACACTTATTTCCACCACCTCAGGCAGGGAGTGGAGCTCTGCCGATAGAATGAATGCCTGGAGGATCCAATACCCAGCACTGTGTAAGCACGCGCGGAAGTCCCGCTTGGGAGGTGGGACAATCCAAAATTTAAGGTCACTGTAGCAAGCTTGAAGCCAGTCTGGACTCCCTTGGATCCTGTCTTGAGAAAACAGAACAAACAAACATCCTTTAATGTGTGTTTCCATTTGGATTAACTCTTTTTAGTAATCGCTAATGTCCTAAGAAGTTGAAGCTCGGAGAAATTTAACCACTATTCTGCAGTTGGGCACAGTTATTCCTCTGCCCCTTTACCTCTCTGCTGATGCCCCTTGTTCATTGCCCTCATACAACTGTCATTTGAGAGAGCTGGCTAGGCAGATGTCTGGAGCCTTCCTTTCTCCTACTTGCCCCTCATGTGCCTGTCTGTAGGTAGCCACACTTAGGTAGTGCTTGCTAACTGAATTCTCCTTGACTGCCAGGACCTCTCCTCCTCCTCTGCCTGAGGCGGGGTGGATCCCTTGGGTACAAAGAAGTGTGATGACCTCAGATTGGGCCAAAGGCAATAACCGCTGATGGGAACCCAGCCTACAGCAGCAACTAGAACAAGTCTGATTTAATCCCGTAATGGAATGTGACTCAGATAAAGCTTGTATCAGTCTTTCCCGTGATGTGGGACAAACAGGTCATCCTAGAATCCTGGAGGGACAGTTGCTATCGTCCTGGGGCTGCCCAGAGGTACCAGAAGGGCTGACTCACTAGAAGTCAAGGCATGTAGAGCCATTGAGTGCACTTGACTCATATTCTCCAGGACTGGAGAGACAGGAGCAAGAGGAAGAGGTTGGAGAATTCATGAGCTCATGCCAACGGGACATCAAATTCTAACAACACTTAATAATAACAAGAACAGTAATAAGGCTATTGATTAGGCACCATGCTAAGCCTTTAAATGCATTCGCCCACGAAGCCTTCACAAAAGCACCTGGACGGTGGGCGCTACTTATCAACCTTATTGAACAGGACGGGACGCATGCATTACCTGCACAAAGTCACACAGTTGCAAGAGCGGGGATGCTGAGATGTGCACTGACATCTGGCTGATTTGGAAGCTCTCCAGCAGCGTGAGTGTAGTGTGCCTGGCATGCACAGCTCCTGACCCACATAGGACTCGAGTCTTGGTTTTCAAGGCACGCTTCACCCTCTTCCTGGAAGAATTCCAGGGGGCTCTATGTAACCACAAGCTTCAATCTCCCCTCTGCCCTGAAAGGGAAGAAATGAGGCCTAAAGCAAGGAGATCTGACCAATCAGGAGTAGAGGGGCTAACCCCCCCCCACCTCCCAACCCTCAGGGACGGCCACACCAAAGGCAAAGTGCAGTCTGGCATCCTGCCAACTGCTTCCTCTGCCCCACTGCTCCCTCCCCAGGCTCCCTACACTCTCCCTTTTCAGCTTTTTCCTAGATCAACTTTACTCTCCAAACTCCCAACCCATTGGTCTCCTTCATTCAAGAACACTTCTAAGTACTCACTGCTAGCAATGGCCTGGGGAATCACCTCCCTGGCTGCCAGAAAGAACCTGGACAATACAATATTAATAACCGCTAACACTTACTGAGCCCGTCACTCTTCTTTCATCTTGAGCTGGAAAATGCAGGCAGAATGAACAAAAAGCTTTTACGTCTATCACAAGAGACCAAGTCAGACAAGGGGAGGGAGCTAGGATTTCACCAACTCTGGGTGAGGCTCACACCCTAACGGGAGGCAAAGAGCATGTTAACAAAGAGTACAGACTTTCGGCTCCTTCAGAGAAGCCCGAGGCCAGCTCCATTACCGTCCACTGTGCCCTGACAGATAAACTAATTCCCTGAATATCAGTGTCATCTATAAAAAGTAAACATTAAGTTCTCAGGCTATTGCCATTATTCTTGGTTACCCAGAACTGCTTGCCGAAGACACAACGTATTTCAGTTGCAGGGCATAGTGACATCACGCTGGAACTGACCTGACACCTTCCTCCAGGCTGGCTTCCTTTCATAGTGTTGGAAGATGCCAAGCAGGTCACTAAGGGTGAAAGGTCATCAATGGCATTTGTTATTTAGTGGTGAACTCTGACTACTGAACTGCCAGGTAAGATATGCCCACTGCTGTAATAGTGGCATGAAGGTTATGGGGGTAACTAACCACTCTCTGACTGGGTCTGAGATCTGCCCCACAGGAAGGAAATGTAAACTTTTCAAAAGGCCATGACTTGGGATGTCATAGGTTGTGGTGGGGGTGAGAACGTGTTCTACTACTGCCGTTTTGCTAGATGGTCAGCTTGTCAGACTCCCTGTTTAATATTAGTGTGTCTACCCATTGACTAGTGTCGCACTTAACGCTGGCGAGATAAACGTCTTTCCTCAGTGGGCAGCAGTTAATGCAGAGACCTACAACTGGTCAAAGCGTGAGAAAAGGCGGACTCTTGAGCGTACCACCCTAATGGGGCATCTGTGCCACCACTGTTCACTGTTGAGGCAGGGTCTCACTCTGAAGCCCAGGCCTGCTTAGAACTCTTTGTGTAGCCCGGGTTTGCCTCAAACTCACAGACATCTACTTGCCTTTGTGTCTGGGATTAAAGGCATGTGCCACTGGTTCTGATGGTGAGTTATTAAAGAACCTTTCTTTTTCTTTTTTTCTAAATTGTTAGATCCCCTGAAACTGAAGTTACAGGCAGTTATGAGCTGCCTTGTGGATGCTGGAAATTGAACCTGGATCCTCTGGAAGAGCAGCCAGTGTTCTTAACCACTAAGCCATCTCTCCAGCTCCTAAAAGACCACTCTTACTTCATTGTTGAATGACTTTTCCCGGGAGATATAAGGACACATCTATTCTCTCTGAGTTGGGAGAGTATCCACAGACTAAAGAAACAAGCCTAGGCGGGCAGTGGTGGCACATGCCTTTAATCCCAGCACTAGGGAGACAGAGGCAGGCAGATCTCTGTGAGTTGGGGCCAGCCTGGTCTACAGAGTGAGTTCCAGGATAGCTTCAAAGCTACAGAGAAACTCAATCTCAAAAAAACAAAACAAAAAAAAAAGAAAAGAAAAAGAAATAATGAAAGAAAGAGAGAGAAATAAAGAAGCCTATCAAATCCCATCATGGTGGAATTACTTACAAGAGCAGGAATGACTCCCAGGAGGATAAACAGCAAGGAAGGCAGAAAGGTCTGCTGGGCAGCCACACCACTGAATACCACCTTCCCCACAGACGGCCCATGAAAAGCTGCATCACGGAGGTTCCCTTTGAAATGGACAGCCACACCACCAAAGAGAATCAACCTAGCCGGTTGTTTACCTCTCATAACTGGGAAGGAGTGCAGTGTGAGAGGTCTCCCGAAGGAGCTTCTTCCCGTCTATCCACAAGGGAACATTGGTTTGTTTTCCAGACAGGGTCTCAGGTAGCTCAAGCTGGCCTTGAACTTGCTATATAGGGACAGTCTTGAATTTCTGATCTTCTGTCGTTCTCCCAAGTGCTGGCTCCAGGCCTCCAAGGGAATGTTAACAGGCTTGATCTAGTGCCGGCTTTCTGTGGACGATCCCTGCTGCCCTGGTTCAAGACCACTGTATTCATGTCCAGCCCAGCGGAAACAGACATGGCACACCTATACAGGGACAAATCGCTTGGGCGATTTTTAAAATTAAAAAAATTTTTCTACACAGGGTTTCTCTGTGTAGCCCTGGCTGGACTGGGCATGTGGCACAAATCTTTAATCTCAATACTGGGGACACAGAGGCAGTTAGATCTTTGTGGGTTTCAGGCAAGCCAGGACTACATAGTGAAACCCTGTGTTTAAAACAAATAAATTTTTTAAAAAAGGGAGTTGGGCAGGATGGCACACACCTACAGTTCCAACACTTGAGAGTCAGAGGCAGGTGGATCTCCATAGTTTCAAAGCCAGCATGGTCTGCATAGAAAGTTCCAGGCCAACTAAGGCTACATAGTAAGGCTCAATCTCAAAATAAATAAATAAATGATAGATAGATAAAAAACAAAAAAAGAGAAGAAATAAAAAACTTCTCTCCCCAATTTCCACTTCAACCTGTGTACCTGTCCCCAGAAAACTACCATCCCTGGGGCCCCTTTGCAGATGACGGGCATTGGCACCCCTCAAATTCAGAAAGAAAAGCAGAACAAGGATGTCTGCTCCTGGGAAAAACTGCCTTTTACACTTGGCTTCTTTTCCATTAAAATCGAAAGTTGCAATTCAATCAGGAGAAAATTGCCCTGGGGACCATTGAACAGACATCTTAGCTCAAATCAGGCCCTGAGTACATGTGTCAAAAGAACCTCACACTCCCCGTTCATTGCCAGCCAAGTCTCAGGGGGTGGGCCAATTGATTTGGGAGCATTCAGTCAGACCTAATGTTCATTACACACATCTTCTGTGTATTGTAGCTGCCAGGTCAGCCATCTGATTGTGACTTCCAAGTCCCTGAGTCTACCATGTGCTAAGTAGAACACGCTAGAATGAAAGACACCTCTGCTGCCCTCCCGGGGCAGGGTGGGCAGACCTAGCTGAGAAGACCAAATGCACAAAAAACTCCTCAGGACAACCATTGTGGGCTGGAGAGATGGCTCAGCATTTAAGAGCACTGGCTGCTCTTCCAGAAGTCCTGAGTTCAATTCCCAGCACCTACATGATGGCTCACAATTGTCTGTAACTCCAGCTCCAGGGGATCTGGCACCCTCACACAGACAAACACAATGCACACAAGATAAAAATAAATTATATATATAAAAAAAAGGATGACCGGGCTGGAGAGATGGCTCAGTGGTTAAGAGCATTGCCTGCTCTTCCAAAGGTCCTGAGTTCAATTCCCAGCAACCACATGGTGGCTCACAACCATCTGTAAAGAGGTCTGGCGCCCTCTTCTGGCCTTCAGGCATACAGAGAGAATATTGTATACATAATAAATAAATAAATATTAAAAAAAAAAGAATGACCACTGAACAAGCAGCCGGTTTGGTCCTTGGCATATACTAGTTCATCTCATTGTCACAGCTCTGCCAGTGTTCTAGTTTGCCCTCTGTTGCTGTGATAGAACACTGAACGAAACCAACTTGAGGGAATGAAAGGGTTTGTTTGGCTTACACCTCCCTATCACAGTCTGTCATAGAAGGGCATGGGACAGGGACAGGCAGGACCCACGAGGGAAGCCGGCTTTCAGGCTCAGACACCTTTCTTTCTTTTCTCTTTCTTATCTCTCTCTCTCTCTCTCTCTCTCTCTCTCTCTCTAGCTTTGGAGCCTGTCCTGAAACTTGCTCTATAGACCAAGCTGGTCTTGAACTCACAGAGATCTGCCTGTCTCTGCTTCTCGATTGTTGGGATTAAAAGCGTGCGCCACCATCGCCAGGCTCAAGACACCTTTCTTTTGTAAACCAGGACCGCTTCCACAGGTGCTACTGCCCTCAACAAACAAAATAAACAATAAGCAAAAGCCAGCACAACCAGGTCGGGCAGATGACATTACCACCTGTGTTTGTTTATAGATGGAAACAATTTTAGGTATCAAAAGTATAGGGTTTTTGTTTTGGGGGGGTTGTTTTGTTTTTGTGGGTTTTTTTTTTTGGTTGATTTTGGTTTGTAGAGTCAGGGTTTCTTTTTTTCTTTTTGGCTTTTTAAGACAGGGTTTCTGTCTGTAGCCCTAGCTATCCTAGAACTTGCTCTGTAGACCAGGCTGACCTCAAACTCAGAGATCTGGCTGCTTCTGCCTCCCAAGTGCTGGGATTAAAGGCATGTGCCACCACCACCTGTCGAAAGTAGAGTTTTTAAAACACAGTAAGCATTCATGAAGAGGTACCACGGGGACGTCATTATCTTCAAAACTAGTCTCTCTCTTATGCTGGGCTTGGGGCTCACATCTGTGATTAAGGCGCTCAGGAGGCAGAGGCAGATGGCTTTCTGGCAGCCTGGTCTACACAGTGAGCTCCAGCCCAGCCAGGGCTATACAGCAGGACCTTGTCTCAGCAACAGCTGGTGTCTTGGAGATTATCGGGACGAACTCTCACGGTAGGATGGTCAGGCCGTTGTCATTCTTTCATTCCGTCCCGCTGCCACCTTTTATGAGAAATTTTAAATAGGTGAGGTTAGAAAAGATTAGAAAGATCTAGATTCAAACTATGGCTCTTATAGTAATCCTGAAAATGATTTCACCCTGAGTATTCCAAGCAGAGTGTCTAATACAAAGGAATTGACACTGTGGCAGCTTAGGTGACAGAGAAGCCTTCACTGACGTGACGTTATTAGCAGGGTCAGAAAATAGCAAGGGTAGGGGTATGTTGCCTTCTGTCCCCTTTGTCCTCTATGTCATTTAATTTCATGTCACGGTGACTACAGTAGCAGACAGAAACAACCTAAAGGGAGGGAGGCATGCAGAGGGTGTCTGTCATGGAGGGGGGTCGTGCAGAGGGTGTCTGTCATGGAGGGGGAGGCATGCAGAGGGTGTCTGTCATGGAGGGGTGCATGCAGAGGGTGTCTGTCATGAACAGGGAGGCATGCAGAGGGCGTCTGTCATGGAGGGGTGCATGCAGAGGGTGTCTGTCATGGAGGGGTGCATGCAGAGGGCGTCTGTCATGGAGGGGGAGGCATGCAGAGGGTGTCTGTCATGGAGGGGGAGGCATGCAGAGGGCGTCTGTCATGGAGGGGGAGGCACCAGAGGGTTTCAGTCCGTCATGGAAGGGAGGCATGCAGAGGGTCTCAATTAGCCCCAGTAGGAGCATGGGGCATTGAGGACCAGGAAGAAAAGAGAGGAGGATCAGAAAATAAAGTCAGACAGGCCCACTCCTAGAGGCTGACTATGACCTTCTGGGCCTCCCACTATAGGAGAGCTGGGGAACTAACTTCAAAACACGAGCGGAGCCAGGAGCTGGAGAGATGTCTCAGTGGTTAAGAGTACTTGCTGCTCTATAAGAGGACCTGGTTACATTCCCAGCACCTACTTGGTGGCTCCTAATAATCTACAACTTCAGTTTCAGGACATCCAACACTCATGCACACAGCACACATAATACATGCAGACTATTTAATTAAAATAAATTAACAAGTAAGAAAGAAAAGAGGACGGAAGGCAGGGAGGGAGGGAGGGAGGGAAGAAGCAGGGAAGCAAGGAAGGAAAATGTGGACCTGTGAGGGACAGTTCGGATCCAACCCAGAACCTTTCCATCTGGTACCGTTGGCTCCCCTTGGCCAACCTCAGTCAGAGCCAACTGGAAAGGGAGCCTGGGCAACAGCCTGCTCAGGAGTGGACAGGTTTAGGGGAGAGGGCGGGCCTCTGTCACATGGTAACCGAAGAGGAGCGAATGTGAGGGCAAACTAATGTCAATTTCCTGCCTCATTAAATGACTTTAATTCAGGGGCAAACATACAGAAAACGTTAGCACAATCCCTGGCACCTAGCAGAAGGTGGCTGTAGCTCTTTTTTTTTTTTTTTTTTTTCCCTAGCTGGAAAAACCAAGATTCAGATACATTAGTAGATGTGTTCCAGCAAATAGGTTGGGCATCTGGGAGAGCAGGGTAATCTTGATAAAGTTAATTCCTTTCTTCCAGCCTTAATTCTCCTTTCAGTTCTTTAGATTGCTAAGAAAATTCACTCTTTGTAAATATTTACTGAGCACCTGCTGCATTCCAGGCACTGTGTAGATAAACAAGACAGACACAATCCTCAGTCCTGGGGCTGACAGTCTGGTGGGCAGAAAGCCACAGAAGTTACACAGGTGACCATATAGTGGCATTGATAAATGCCACAAAGAACCGAGTGCGATGAGGGACGTCGAGGGGGGCCTGGGCTAGTCTAGGGAGGTCAGAGCATCTTCTCTGTGACCTGGGGAAGATCTGCTGGAAGGTTTAATGCTGACCAGCGAAGGTGCGGCCCGGCAGGGACCACACCTCACAAGCACTCGGACCCGGCCCCGGCGTCACACCAGGACACCGGGTCAGGTCCGTGGCTCAGTCCCAGGCCCGCGTTCCCTGCCCTGGGCCGCTGCTGCTCCTGCGCGCTAATGCGTATCGAATTTTCGTTGAATTGGCCCGCACAGAGTGTACAGCGGTGGCGCTGCCAGAGCCTCCTAATTCCCTTTACATCGATCCCGCCGTTAATGACATAACCTTCTCCTCTAATTAACTGACGACTGCATTAGCGGCCTCCTGCTTGCAGCCCGCAGCTCACTTTCCCCCGCCCGGGCACCAACCTCCCGCGCGCGCGCCGCGCCCGCCAGCAGTGCGGTTGGCTGAGCAGCTGCTGCGCTCACCCGGACTAGGGTCCCAGCCGGGATGGGTGGAGGCGGGATATTGTTCCAAGATTTGGTCACCTTTGCATCAGCTCAAGCGCGGTTATTCGTGTTGTTGTTTACTGTGTTCCTACACTGGGCAGAGCACTTAACATACTTTAGCTTATGATTCATTATAATGACTCTAGAGACATATAGTGGAAATTGGGGCTGGTAGGAGGAGGGAAAACTCAGGAACCACAGACTTGCAAGCACTTTGAAGGCGGGGCTCCCAGCCCCCTTCACCAACCGGCTGGACTCCCAGGTTTGTGCTGTACCCCTAGGTAACTCCGGACACTATGCTAAGGGTTTTTATATCTGCTGCTCGGCAGACAGCCACAGATAATTTGAGCCTCAGTAACGTGAATCCTGAAACTCCAATTCTGATTTTTTTTTTCCCCCTTTGCTTTATCTTTCCTGGATGTTCATTTCTCTGGAGTGGTCAAGTTTTTGTTTTCTTTGTCTTTAATTATTTAATTACAATTTATTTATTGTGTGCTGAGAGAGGGGTTGTGGGTGTGCCACAGTAAGTGTACAAGTCAGAGGACAACTTGCCAGAGTTGGGTCTCTCCTTCCACCACGTGGGTTTTCCAGAATGAGGTCATCAGGCTTGGCAGCAAGTGCCTTTACCCAGTGTGCCCTCAGGTTGGCCCTGGTTTTGATTTTTGAGTCAAGGTTTCCCTGTGTAGCTGGCCTCCAACTTTCGATCCTCCTGCCTTAGCCTCTGGAGTGCTGGGATTGCAGACCTGTGCCAACGCATCCGGAAAGTCGTCATGATCTGGAATTCCTTGGGTGGCAGAGAAATTGTCTTCTCTTGCCAAACACAAATACAGGGGTCCCAAATTTTGTATACTTTATGGTTGCTATTTCTCTGTCTCTGTCTCCCTGTCTCTCTGTCCACCCCCACAACCCCTCAGTGTGTGTGTGTGTGTGTGTTGTTGTTGTTTTGTGTGTGTGTTTGTGTGTGTGTTGAGAGAGTCTAGTAGCCTGGGCTGGTCTTGAATTTCCGATCCCCTGCTTCAATCTCCCGCTGTAATTTCAGCCCTAAAATGTAGACTTTAAAAAGTATATCTCTTGGTGCTGGTGAGATGGCTCAAGAGTTCAGAGCACTGGCTGCTCTTGAGGACCTGTGTTGGTTCCCAACACCCAATAGTGGTTCACAATCATCTGTAGCTCCAGTTCCAGATGGCCTCGGGCCCCAGGCATGCATGCAGTACACACATATATACACAGGAAGAACACTCACTCACATGGTTTGAAATATATCTACAAGAATCTGTCTTAGCCGGATGGTGGTGGTGCACGCCTTTAATCCCAGCACTCGGGAGGCAGAGGCAGACGGAGCTCTGTGAGTTCGAGGCTGACCTGGTCTACAAGAGCTAGTTCCAGTACAGCTAGGGCTATTACATAGAGAAACCCTGTCTCAAAAATATAAATAAATAAATAAATAAATAAATAAATAAATAAATAAGGAATGGCCTTCCAGAGTATCCCTTAAATTGAAGAGGCATGTGAAAGTTAAGAAACGGGTTTAGAGAGGTTTGTGGGGTTGCTCTAGCACAATGAAGAGGCAGCAAGACCAGAAGCCCTCTGTGTTCATCTGCCACCCTCTTTTCCCTCCACTGTCTAGGAATCTTTCCTGAGTGGGGGGACCTGGATTTGACAAGTCTTTAACATCCAACCCTGAAGTAAATATTAGAATCACTATATCTAGCGGCCAGTAGATCCTCTTCCTCTTTTTTTTTCTTTTAAAGATTTATTTATTATATATATAGTGTTCTGCCTGTAAGTCTGCCTGCAGGCCAGAAGAAGGCATCAGACCTTTGTGTGTCACCATATGACTGCTGGGGATTGAACTCAGGACCTCTGGAAGTCTGGAAGAGCATCCAGTGGTCTTAACCACTGAGCCATCTCTCCAGGCCCTCCTCTTCCTCTTTTCTCTTTGCTTCATCTACCACACAAAGGGGCCCATCGTTTGTTTGTTTGTTTTCTGAGACAGGATTTCTCTGTGTTAGCCCTAGTTGTTCTGGAACTAGATTTGTAGACCCAGGCTGGCCTCAAATTCACTGAGCTCTGACTGTCTCTGCCTCCCAAGTGCTGGGATTTAAACTGCCTGGAAGGGTCCTTTTTTTTTTTAATTATGAATATTCAACCTCGTCTTAGGCTTGTCCCATTAGCTCTTATAACTTAATTTAACTTGTTTCTATTCATCTACATTTTGCCCCAGGGCTTTTTACCTTTCATTTAGTACATTTCCTGCTTCCTCTCTATCTGGCCCCTGGTATCTCTTTTTCTTTCGTCCCCCAAGCCTAAATTCCCCCTCCTACTCACTCTCCCCGCCTATACCTCCTACATTGTTATTGGCTGTCCAGCTTTTTATTAGACCAATCAGGTGCCTTAGGCAGGCAAGGTAAAACAGCAACATATCTTTACATAATTAAACAAATGCAACACACCTTTACACAGTTAAGCAAAGATTCTACAACATAAACAAGTGGAATACACCTTTACAAAGTTATGTATAAAAATATTTGGCAACAGTAACTTTAATGTGCTACTTTAAAGTCTGTATTTATTGTAATGTAATCAAAGGGCCCACCTGTCTTCAGATGGAGACTGAAGAGCAATAGGATTAGGCCATTTGCCAGAATCCCCTCAGCTGATTAGTGTTGCTGAGTCTCAAATCCAGATCAAGCCGGATCTGCTTCCCTTGTGCCCTTTTCACTGCATTCTGTGGTCTTTAAGCCACTGAAGGTCTGTGCTCTCCGACAGTCAGCAAGCCATTTCTGGGGAACTGAGTACTTGATTTGGGAATTCATTTCTAGGTCCCTTTACTACAGATCTCCCCCCTTCCCCACAGTGGGGAGCCAGCTTGAGTCAGATGGTCTCTTTCAGGGACTACAAGGGGTCTTTTGTGTTAAGAGGGCACAGGCAGAGTCAGCCTGGGGCAAAGTTGGGAAACAGACAACTCTCCTAAGTGCCAGGCTCACCCTCCTTGTGGGAGAGGGGCGAAGTTACCCCCTTCACAGCCTATCTGATATCCTTGTCTCTAAGGCCTCCCTTCTGAAGGAACCCTGGGCCCTTGCTTCAGTTCATGATGCCCTTCAAGTTTCCTCCTTCACAAAGCCTCAGGGATTGGGCCATGCTGAATTCCTGCCCCTCCTCATGCCTCTTCCCAGTAAGCAAAGAACACACTTGCAGTCCTCTTACCAGTGGTTAGTGTTGTGGTTCTGCACGAGTCAAACTCCAGACACCTCTTTCTCCTTCCTGTAAAACAGGATAATAGGAGGCTGAAATGGCTCTGCAGGGGAGAGCACGAGCCTGAGGACCTGGGTTTGGATCCTCATACTGTTGTTAACAAAACAGGAATAAAACCAGTGGAAGGCAATTGAAATGGCCCAGCACTAAACACCAAGGCTGATGACTGAGCCCTATCCCAAGGACCCACAAATTGTAATGAAGGTACCCCCTTCTGCAGGCTGTCTGTCCCCTGGCCTCCTCTACACATACACAAGCATTCGTAGACATGCAAATAAATAAATGTGATATAACCATTGGTGAAGGCCCAGCACAGTTGTTCGCATCTATAGCCCAGCACTATGGAGGAAGAGAAAGTAGTATTGAGGGGATTTGCTGCCTGCCTGTCCAACTCCAGACAGCAAGAGATCCTGCCTCAAAGGAGTAAGGTGGACAGTGGCAGGGCAGAACTGAGGTCCCTTCTGGCCTCCTCAAGCAAGAAAATATAAGAAATGGTGATGGACTTAAAGTGAAATAATAAGTTGGGCATGGTGGCACACACCTTTAATACCAGCACTTGGGAGACAGAGGCAGGGGGATCTCTGAGTTTGAAGGCTTCCTGGTCTACAAACCCTGTATTGGAAAAAAAAAATAAAAAGAGATAGTAGTATCTACCCTAAGTAACTATTTTATGAGTATGTGTGTTTTGCCTGCATGTATATCTATATCTATATCATCTATACACTATGTATATACCTGGTGCTCATGGAGGCCAGAAGAGGGCACTGGAGTTACAGGTGGTTGTGAGCCAACATGTGGTTTCTAGGAACAGAACCCGGGTCCTATGCAAGAACAGCAAGTGCTCTTAGCCCCTGAGCCATCTCTCCAGCCACAGAATTTAAGTCTTGCTGCCACTGTTTTTCAAAGAGTATGCAGTTCATATTAAAATTTTCTTTCAGAATTGACAGATACAAGATAGATACTAAAAAGAAACAAACCATGAGGCACTCGGCTTTAAAAGGCCACACAGGTAAAGCTAGTGCTGTGTTGGCCACTGAGCTCACAAAGAATAATGCCTCTCACTACTGTCTGTCTGTCTGTCTGCTCTATCTCTGGGTCACCCTACTGCCCGCCTTACCCAGCCCACCACAGGTATTTAGCAGAAGATTCAAAGCCAACACAATTATGAGCAGCCCAGGGTCTTGGGAAAAAAACGCCTCTCCCATTTTCTGTTCAGTTCAACAGAGACTCCAGACGGTCGGGTCTGTTCATAGGCATCCTTCTGTGGGGGATGGGCTCCTCATTCTTGGCACTGCTCTAGCCCAGACACAGGCTCATTTCATCCTTTTACACACACACACACACACACCCTCGTGCCAATGACCTTTGCTCTGGGATGTCACTGAAAGGGTGAAGGGTCACAGATCTCTGCATGGCCAGGAATACCAAGCATGCCAGCTACATACCCATTCTCCAAGACCTCTGCCCCTTCCACAAGGCCTAGATTGTGTCCTAGCAGCCCTGCCATGTAGTGTGTCCTTCCTCGGGGAGGGAAGTGACAGGAGGGCTTGCTCTCAGAACCCCAGTCACAGCCAACCGTTGGTCGCCTCCCCAACACTTTAACCTTTCTAGCCTCTGCATTTGTCCCTCTGATCTCTGGGCCGCCCTTTCCTCATCTCTGCAAAACAAATCTTGTTCATTGTTCAAGCCTGGCCGTTCCAGGAAGCCGGCCCTGCAGCCTGGAAAGAGCTCTCTGTGTTTGAGGCCAAGTCCAGATCCTATCGCTTCTTGTAATTTAGGCTATGGGGTCTCGGCCCAGTGCTGGACATTCAGATGTGCGGGGAGTCAGGCGGGCTGAGCTTTGATTGCCAGATCAGTCACTTGTCAGCTCAGGAGCCTTGGGTGAGTTGTTTGGCTGCACTGAACCTCCATGTAAAATTGAGAAAATAAAATAGGATGATTATGAAAATTAAATGAGATAATGCTCATTAGGCCATTAGCATGGTGCCTTATACACATTAAACTCCCAATAAATGGTGGCCATTATCCTTGTTTCTGTTCTTTCACTCCCATTCCACCCACAGCATTCAGATAAGGCCTTGACCACTTCAGTATCTAAAGGCAGAAGGTTTTTGTTTTGTTTATTTGTTTTTTTTTTTGGAAGGCAGAATTTTATTGGAATTAATCTCTTAGATCCAGATGTGAAAACCCTCCTCCGGAGAGAAACAGCTATGTTGAGAACACACTAAGAACCAGAGATTCCCAAGAGAGGATGCAGGACAGAACCGTAGGACGTCCTTGCAAGCATGGAAGAAGAAAACCAAGGGCCCATCAGCCAAGGAAAGTGTTTGACCAAACTAACAAGCACGTGGGGGTGGGGGTGTGTTTGTTTTTATTCTCGACTGAGACAGGATCTCACTATAGCTTGGGCTGACCTGAAATTGTTAGGTAGACCATGCTGGCCTCGAACTCGACGGAGACCCTCCTGCTTCTGCTTCCAACTTAAAGGAGTGCATCACTACACCTGTCCTCTGACTTCCTTTCGAAGAGAGGAAAGGATTTAGTCCGGATCATAGTTTGAAAGTAGCCTGTTGTGGAAAGGAGGGCGTGGTGTTGGGCGTGGAGGGCAGCTGGTCACAGGGACACACAGATTGGGGGGGGGGGTTAAAAAGGTGCCGGATTTTTTGTCACTATTGTACAGGAGTTTAGAAAAGAAGTGAGAGACAGCTAGACTTTGGAAAGTCTATGTCGCCTGTAAGGAAAGGACGCGATTGGAATGAAGGGCGGCAGAGAGGTGACTAGCAGGCTTGTATAGGAAGCTAAGGGAGCTGCCTGCTCTTCAGTAAAGTTGATTTATGCAAATTCATCTTGGTGTTAAGTCCTCCTTTGGATAACAAGAAAAGCTTTTCTGGGGCTGGAGAGATGGCTCAGTGGTCAAGAGCACTTGCTGTTCTTGCAGAAAGCCAGGTTCAGTTCCAGCACCCACACTGTGTTTCACAACCATCCTTAACTCCAGTTCCAAGGGATCTGATGCCCTCTTCTGACCTCCTCAGGCACTAGGCATGCGTGTGATGCACAGATATATATGCAGGCATAGCACTCATACACATAAAATAAAAGTATTTAAGAGTAGCTTTTTTTTTTTTTTGTCACTGGGCAGTGGTGGCACACCCCTTTAATCCCAGCACTGGGGAAGTAGAGGCAGGTGGATCTCTGAGTTTGAGTCTACAGAGTAACTTACAGGACAGCCAGGGTTACACGGAGAAACCTGTCTTGAAATAAACAAACAAAAGGAGTAGCTTTTCTCTAGGTATAGGGGTGCACATCAGAAGCCCCAAGATATCTGGGAATCTGAGACATGATTGCTGAGACCAGCCTGGGTAACATGAGAAAACACTATCAGAAAGAGAGGGGGAGAGGGAGGGAGGAAGAGAGGGAGGGAGGGAAGAAGGAAGGAAGGAAGGAAGGAAGGAAGGAAGGAAGGAAGCTAGCTGAGCCCGAGTCTGGTAACACACACCTATAATACCAGCACTTGGGAGGTGGAGACGGAAGAGTTGGAGTTCCAGATCATTCTCCACTACATAGCAAGTCTGAGATCAGCCTGGTCTACATGAGACCTTGTTGCAAAAACCTCAAGGGAAATAGAATGGCAGCTTTCTCACTCTGCCACAGGGAAGGCCCCTTTCTGGATTGCAAATTTATGCCTTGCCTTCAGGAGATAAAAGACAGAGGTGGTGGCACACGCCTTTAATCCCAGCACTCAGGAGGCAAGGGGGAGACGGATCTCTGTGAGTTCGAGGCCAAAATGGTCTACAGAGCAAGTTCCAGGACACCCACGGCTACAAAAAAAAAAAAAAAAAAACCTGCCCTCAAAACAAAACAAACACACAAAGATAGAGAACTCTTACCATTTCCGTTGGTTCTCATTGCCTTCAGCTCAATGTGAAAATAAACTTAATTTGTGGATAACACATTCAACTCTGCCCTACTCTTCAACAGCCAAGACCAGAAATCTAGCAAGCTGACAGCAACTTCTGTGTTTCCTGCGCCTGGTACTACCCCTATCCAAAAGCACCAGTCTTGACCATGAACCCAGATTGCCTCATGTAGAGAAAATTAGTATACAAAAAGTGGAAAATAATTGAGGATGCCCCTGGCTCCTGACTCACTGGGTCAGCCTCCCTAAGGCCTCTTTGAACTTCCTGGAACTGCATTACATAAAGGTTAGTTACCCTCGTACTAAGTAATTCAAGTAATTCTGTTACTTGGAGTCAAAAGCCTACTGACAAAGATGCTACCTCTGCTTTCACTAATTGTCCAAGGTCCCTTGGGATCTGAGGGGCAGACCCAGCCTTCTGGTTTTCAGCCTGGAGCTCAGCTTTTGAAAAGATGTCCTAAAGCTGCTCCACACAGAACCTGGGCACAATTAGTGGAAGTCAGCAGCACCATCTTAGTGCTGGTCCAGGTCCTAGAACAGAAGCCATGGTGCCCACAGAGGTCTCTCCCAGAAGCAGCAATAACAACGGCTGTCATTTACCCAGTAATCATCCTGTAGGGGGCACTATGTTGGTGCAGGAGAATTGTCTGTATTCTGTCAATCATGTTTTAAATAAACGCCAATTGGCCAGGCAGGAAGCATAGGCAGGAAAACCAGACAGGAAGTAAAGGTGGGGCAAGGAGAACAGGAGGATTCTGGGAAGAAGGAAGCACTTCCCCCATTCCAGCCCAGACCACCAAGAAGCAAGATGTGACCTGCCCAGCTGAAAGATATCGAGCCATGTGGCCAAAATAGTTAAGAATATTATCTATTTTGGGTTAATATAAGCTACAAGAGCTAATAAGTAACCTGAGCTAATGGGCCAATCAGTTTTATAACTTATGGAGATCTCTGTGTGATTTTCTTTGGGACTTGCCGGCTGTAGGATACCAGGCAGGACAGAAACCCCAACAAGCAAGCACCCTCATGTTACACTATGTAAAGTATTATAATAATATATTCCAACCTTTAAAACAACCAAGTTGGGGTGCTGGGACGAGAGATCAATTGGGAGCCGGGCGATGGTGGCACACGCCTTTAATCCCAGCACTCGGGAGGCAGAGGCAGGCGGATCTCTGTGAGTTCGAGACCAGCCTGGTCTACAGAGCTAGTTCCAGGACAGGCTCCAAAGCCACAGAGAAACCCTGTCTCGAAAAAAAAAAATTGGGGAAGTACTCACTGCACATGCATAAGGACCTGGATTTGGATCCCCAATGTCCACATTAAAAAAAAATATAGG